GGAAACTTTGTGGGGAGCAAGCGGGGGTGGGGTGGGGCATGTGGACCCTGCAGGGGAGTGGGGTAGCCCCTGTGGGGGGGGGTCATGGCCCCTGTGGGGGGCAGCAAAAAAATATATTCATGTATTCATGAAACATGTATTTAGAGTTCACTTTATTATGATGATAGAGACACTGGTAGTCTTCCAAACTGCTTTAACACTGTAGATGTATCAATACAACTTTGCCCAACTGATCACTGTCTCTCTGTCTCACTGTCTCTCTGTCTCTCTTGTGGTCTTTTGTTTTAATTGTGGAGCAACATGGCTTTTAGGGTATCTAACAGAGTGACATTGGGATTTTTTTATCAGGGATTTTTCAGTTTTCTAATAGGGAACACCACAATTCCTGCTAGGGAGGTCAGTGGCAGGACCCTGCCTGCTCAGAGCTGGCACCTTGGACCCAGCTGGCTGTGGCTGACCTCCTGGCCAAATGGGGCCAAGGAGGACATGTTTTGACAGTTCAAAGCAGGCCACCACACCTGGGACATCTGGGCAACAGCTGCCCAGATGGCTGAGCAGGGACACACATGGCAGTAGTACCACACAAAGGCCAACTCCACAGCCACAGCCCACTGACAGCTGGCCCAGAGGGGCAGATGCCTCATCTGGGTCTGGCAGGTGTACAGCAGGTCACAGCCAGGCAGCAGCCCCCACTGCCAGACTGCTGCAATGGGTAGAGGGTGCAGGGAACTCTCAGGGCTGTTTCAGCCGTCCAGCTGGCACAAGGGGTAGTGTCCCTAGGTACCAACTGGCTGGGCCCCAGAAGCTCCTGAAAGCAAGGAGCCCTGAGCTACTTGCCAGACCAGCTTTTTGTACTGATAGGGCAGTACAGGGAAGTTTTTTATACTGCTGGGGACAGCACAGGTGCTGGCCCCGGGCTCAAGCTCCCACTGGCTGCAGATCCGGGAGGAGCCAGGCAGGGTTATTTTGCCCCAAGTGGCACAATTTGCTCCACTACAAAGTACATGTCCGAGCATGTGCACTAAGGCAAAAAGCCCTGGCTCAAATTTGCACCACTTCTATTTGAGTTACTGCAAGCGTATGTGCTTGTATGTGTGAATGCACCCCAAGAGGCAAACTCATCCAATAACTATATGCTAAATAACTCATATTGACATTTACTGTACAAATAACAAATTAAGGTATATTCTCATAGAAAAATCTCATTGTGTATGCTTGCTAACGGCCCAGGAGATTAAGAGAGATGTTTCTCAAGTACAAAAACACAACTCTACAGTACCTTGGACAGCTCAGGTCATTGAGAGACTAGATGACAGAAGTATAGGGAGTCAGACCTAACAGAATGATTTTAAGATAATAAGCAGCACGTTTCAATCAGAGTCTTAGCATAGAGAAAAACAAGTTTGCACAAATCTCTGAAAACAGAAAGCATTTTTCCTTTTTTAATGACAATAGGCCAAAACACCAGGCATTTCTGCAATGAAATGAAATTTGTTACTTGATGAGGTGGATTCATCAAGAAATATAGTTAAAAAAGGAAATAAGGAATGTTTCAGATTGAGTTAGAAAAATGAGACCTGGCAGCTAAAAAAGACAAGATGTGGGAAAGATGGAAATATAACATTCATGGGTAAGGAAATGTTTGATGAAGAGAAAATGGGAAAGATTAGGATGTCATGAGTTGGTAAAGGCTGAGAACAGTAAGACAACCATTTTGAAGAGATAAGTATTGCACGTTGGATCATATTCAATGGAAAGGGATAGGATTATTTTTATTGAGGCTATTTTATTATACTTTGTTTTTCCTAGCTTGTGTCTTACCTGGAGGACCTCGGTGCCCTGGCTGGCCAGGTGGGCCTGGTATATAGGCATTAGAAGCAAGCACCTTTTCACCAGTGATTTGTTTGCTAAGGTCACCAGCATTGTTTGGTAGCAAAGCAACCTGAGGGGGAAAAAATCATTAGAGTTTCATAGGATCAATTAATTCCTCTGTTAAATTTTTCTGTAAACAAACTGTGTGGTAATCTAAATATCGGGATGCGTGCAAACTCCATTACGATTACTATAATCAACATTTGTCTCCAGGAAATCCTTCCTGAAGTCCCCAGTCAGGACAGGGTATCCTTTGTGCCTGGTACTGTACAAACCTAAAGACATGGACTCTGCAATGGATTGCATAAGACCAGACAGTGATACTAAGTTGGGGACCACATAGGATGCTGGGGCTTTGTATGAGGAGTATGCCGTGTTTATGAACCCATGTATTGGAGGAACCAGGTTTAATTTAAACAGCACGCACAAAAATGAGCTTAAAAAACAGTAGGGAAGGAAAGAATTACTACAATAAAACTTAGAAGAAACGTGTAGCTTGACAGCTCCAAACACCTGAAATATCTTTGGAGACTTGTCACTGAAATTATTCCCTGTCAACCAATAACCATATTGTGCTTCCTGTAGGTCTTCCCTGTACTCTCAGGTGACTCTGAA